CCAGCCTGTGCCGCAATAACTGGCTGAATTACCCCAACTAGCGGGGCTGCTGGAGCTAAATTTTAAGGAGCCAACTGCTCCGGAGCGGGAGTAGTGGGAGTTTGTGCTCCTCCCCCAGCCTGTGAGTCGGCTGGTGCCACTGAAAATGTACCATTCTGGGCCACGCCCTCCATAAGACTTACCAAACGGACTAGAGCATCCTGAAGCACAATCCTGAAGACACGTACATAAACAACTTGTACAAATATATACAAATACGAAGTAACAATAAATGACAATTTATAAATTGGGCGGGAACATGCGAAGGGGAAGGATATAATAATTTCAGCAGGAGAAGTGTCACTTAGCAGCCAATTAATGTATCAACAATAAAATGAGCAATTGATAATATAAAAATGGCACGGCACCACCCTTCGTACTTTTACTCTCATTTGACACGGCATCACCATTCGTGCTTTTATACTCACAATTGGCACGGCAACACCCTTCGTGCTTTTACACTCATAAATGGCACGGCAACACCCTTCGTGCTTTTACACTCACAATTGGCACGGAAACACCCTTCGTGCTTTTACACTCTTCCTTACCATGAAAATAATAATATAAACTCGGAAGAGTATTTAAGTGCGGGGATATACACTTATCAATCAATTCAATACCAAAATACCGACTTCACCTTCCAAAATATTCATCAATAATTAAATGAATAATAATTTCACGAATAATGAGCATGTGACAATTATTGCAGGAATTCAAGAATTAATAACTGACAAGGAATATGAGTGAAACAATTAATATAATAATTAATTCATATTTTAAAACGATTTATGATTTTTCAAGTAATTATGCAAACAATTAATTTGACAACGTATAGACACTCGTCACCTTGCCTATACGTCATACACATGCAACTCACATAACAAATAATTTAAGGGTTTTATTCCCTCAAGTCAAGGTTAACCACGACACTTACCTCGCTTGCAACCAAATTCAAGAATCCAATAAACCTTTGCCTCGCGAATTCGTGTCTGAAATCCTCAAATCTAGTCATAAACAATTCAATATACTCAATACAAATCGTAGGAATTAATTCCATATGAATTTGCTAATTTTTCGGATTAAAAATCCGAAATTCATCTCAAAAATTAATAGTGGGGCACGCGTCTCGAATCTCGAACAAACTTACGAAATTCAAACACCCGTTCCGAGACGAGTCCAACCATATAAAAATTACCAAATTCCGACATCAGATTGGCTTTCAAATCTTCATTTTACATTTTGGAAGATTTTATAAAAATCTAATTTTTCTTCCATAAATTCACGGATTCATGATGAAAATGAGTATGGAATCATGAAATATAATCAATATAGGATAAGGAATACTTACCCAAATTTTTTCCTGTGAAAATCGCCCAAAGGTTCGCCTTACCCGAGCTCAAAAGGACCAAAATGAGAAAAAATCTCGGAAGCCTTTGTTTTATCACTGCCTAGGCATTTCCGCACCTGCGGTGCATGGGTTCGCACCTGTGAGCTCGCATTTGCAAGAAAAATCTCGCATCTGCGAAATGGCTTGCCCAGCGTGTGTCCGCATCTGCGGAGCTTGAGCCACATTTGCGGTTGCACAGATGCGCATGAAGGAGCCGCAGAAGAGGTGCTTTCCATATTTGCGATGGCTGAGTCGCAGAGGAGACCTCGCACCTGCGGCCAAAATTGCGTCGGTGCGACACACCAGAACCAGACCTGTAATGTTTACAAAAATGGTCTGAAACTCGTCCGAAACTCACCCGAGCCCCTCGGGACCTCGTCCAATTATACCAACCAGTCTCGTAACATAACACGGATTTACTCGGGGTCTCAAATCATATCAAATAACATCGAAATTATAATTCACACCTCGATTCGAACTTTTGAGTTTCAAACTTTTCAATTTACAAATCTTATGCTGAAACATGTTAAATGAATTCGAAATGACTTCAAATTTGGCACACACGTGATAAACGACATAACGGAGCTATTCAAATTTTCTGAATCGGATTCTGACCCCGATATCAAAAAGTCAAATTCGTGGTCAAACTTTTGGAAATCTTTAGCCTTTAAATTACTAGTTTCTTTTAAATGGTCATAACTTGAGCTAGGGGCCTCCAAATAAAATTTCGGGCATACGCCCAAGTTCCAAATCACAATACGGACCTACCGAAACTGTTAAAACACTGATTAGGGTCTGTTTGCTCAAAATATTGACCAATGTCATCTCAATTGAGTTTTAAGTCTTTATTTCACATTTTAATCCATTTTTCACATAAAAACTTTCTGAAAAATTATACGGACTATGCACGCAAGTCGAGGAATGATAAATAGTACTTTTTGAGGTATTAGAATACAAAATTAATTATTAAATTTAAAGATGACCTTTTGGGTCATCACAATGAGAAAACAGAGCTAACACTTGACAACTTCAGCATAAAATGCATTACGTCTTCTACCGTATTTATAATTTTCTCGTGCTGCACTTTCACACAATGTGAACCTGCTTACGCTCAAAATGGGTTTTACATATAGTTTTCCAAATTTTCAAATATGTCCTCCACCGAGTCACTCACTAAGTTCACAACAATATACCTTGCCTAAAAAGGAACCTTGTCCGCAAGGTTCGAGTAAAGCAGAAATTGCAGCAATATCCGCTTGACATTGTAAACAACAAACAAGCAATTCAAAGCAACATTTTCACTTCGGGTATGACACATAATAATGTAGTAATGGGAATCACCATCCGCCATCAAGGAAAGCAATCTAGATATAGGTTAATTAGTACCAAAGTTGTTGTCTTGAAGTGAATTCAACTGCATCCAATCACAGGAATCCTCAACCTTATACCTTATGTCATACCTTAAGGTACCCAAAAGAGAATCAGCAACAAGCTTAACGTACTGGCTTATCACTCCTGCATCAGTGCAAATAAATGCACAGGAAAGGACAACACAAATTAGTCTAATCTCAATGTGAACAACTCATTTTCCTATCCCTAGTTTTAACATTGGGTAAGGCATTTCACGGGATTTTAGCTTCCTCACGGATATTATAACCATGAAAAATAGATCTCGCCATCTGACACTAGGGATATAATGTTTGAAGGAATGTTGTACCCTTTTGTCCATGTAACGATGATCTGATGTCATCCAACCAGCATCTTCAGGGGCCTCAACAATATCTGCAGCAGCTGCGCTTAGTAATTTGGTTCGAGGTAGCAACTTAACAGAATAGTATATACAACCATCACCACGCAAAAAATTGGCAACAACGCCCTTCCTACATATAGGACCGTAGGTGTTAGGTATCAGAACCTGGATTCCTGGATCATAGGGGTAAAGGTCGAAGCGTTGGCTCGCAATAACCTGCCCAAATAGTCATGCGTCCTTACACATTGCAAGAATAAAAACAACACATGATGGTGACTTTCCCTCACTATAAACCCAATTACCCCATAGTGTAGCTATTAGATCATAAGTAGAAAAAATAACACTATTTGCAAATATATTCAGGTTGAAAGGATAGGTTATAGAGATATCATGTATACCAGGATCAAAGGGAAGACTAAACAACTTGAGATATACAACCAAATCTTCTATGAAAGATAAATAATGTTGCAAAAAATATAAGACGGTTTGGAACCCCAGCTTGGCAAGCCCTCTAAATTTTTTCATGTTAAGCCCAAGATCTAGTAAGTCCCTATCCATGAATTCTACAGCTTCATATATATAGTTTCCACCATGAACTAATTGACTTTATCGACCAAGCATATCTACAATGATGGCATATTGTGCATTGTCATGTTCGAGCTTAGACTCTTCCATTAAGTTGAAATAATGCAATCCTTTATCAAGCTTTAAGAAATTTGCTTGCACTTTGTTCTTCCATCCTTTTTTATCAGCCAACATAGCCAAGACCTTACTAGGTTGATGCAACTTTAGAACTATAGAATTAGGAACTCCAACCCAGTAGGAAAGCATCATTAAAATCTTGTATACGAGGCTGAAGCGAGTGATATCTTCTTCATAATGAATGAGCGAAAATAGTAGCCAATGCATCACAACAACTAGCTACACAATCTCACAATGACACCACATCATACCACTCCTAAAATACATCAATTGAGTAATCATGTACTGCTCCTCAAGGTGAGTCAGAGCACCATCAAAGGAATATAGAAATGAATGTGCTATAGACTCACCCAGTAGCTTATATGATGTACAAGAATTTCGAAAATTACAACTGCATTTAAAACCCCTTTCAACTCCACCCACAAACTCACAATCATACAACTTTGCAAATAAACAGTTCCTTCTTTTTCTAAGATCTTCAAACAATGTATGTGCCTCCTCTTTCTCAGTAGAACCTGTTAGAGCCATGAACTCAGAACTAAGTTCTGGATCCCATACACAAAGAATCTCTGCATTCAAGGTTATGGTGACACATAAAGAAATTAGCACCAGGATCAAATGGAAATCGATTCAAAATATAGTGATCATTGAAATCCCCAGTAGATGCCCCATGCTCATCATCAGACAACATTTCATTCAAAAACATGTCACTTCTTAGAATGTCGTCCTCATTTTCCATAAACAGTTTATCAAGACATAGGTCCTCAATAGTCGCAGACTCCATGAGAAATTCAGCAAGATACATGTTTTCAAAAGTCTCAAATTTAATTTTCCGTTGGCCGTGATCAAGAGAAGGTGCAGTAACGTACCTCACTGGCATATCTCTTTTGGGACTTTTAGCAAACAGTTGGGATTCGCTGCTTTCAGGACTTGTAGCTTCTTTCGCGATCATTTCAATTGAGGCAGCTAATTACGCCTTCAGAAATAATGTTGGGCAGCAGCTATTTTATATTTCATCGAACACAAGTTGATCTCGTTCAACAAGAGGAACGAGGAGTGCTTCATCGCATGTAAAATGGCAATGCAGATCAGGTTCGTCACTCTGGGAAATTTCGTCGAATACCCTGTCTTCGACTGGTGCACATCTCTCTCCCCCAGTTAAACTGGAGTTGGGATCTTGTATATCAGGTACTTAAAGTTTTGTGAATGAACCTAAGGAGCAAGGAGGATGAATGTTGGAGTTTGCTGTTGGAACCGAAGAACTATCAACCATTACATTAGGCAAAACTCCAGTAGACTGTTCATCGAATGCTTGTTTCATCTTGTTGGCTGGTCTGAAAGTAGATTCAAGCCCATAGAAAGTCGAAATATATTGCAGATCAGAAATTGTCGGTTTTGGAAAATGCAGAAGAAATTTCTCCTTGAAATGGCTCCAGTCAGAGAATTGTTTGTTGTGAAATAGTCAATCAAACCAAACGAGGGCATCGCCGTCCAGGTAGAAGGAAGGAAGAGGCAGCCAGTCCTTCTTGGAGAAGCCAAGGTATGTGAAGTACGACTCGGCCCGAAAAATCCAGTGCTCCGGGTTACCGTCGCCACTTAATCTGGGTAAAAACATCGCCACCGTTGGAGTCCGATGGATGAAAGCACCAATGTAATAACCCAGAAGATACACCAAATAACTGATTATATTAACTCAATAATAATTGAAATTACAAAGCAAAAGCTAATGATAGTAAGGAGAGTGTTACTGAAAATCTAAGAATAAAGGAGGTGAGAAATAGACTGATATAGAGTTAGGGATGAGAAGTATAGAAGAGAGCATAGATGAGAAAAACAGAGCTAACACTTGACAACTTCAGCATAAAATGCACTACATCTTCTACCGTATTTATAATTTTCTCGCGCTGCACTTTCACACACTATGAACTTGCTTACGCTCAAAATGGGTCCCACGCATATTTTTTCAAATTTCCAAATATGTCCTCCACCGAGTCACTCACTAACACTATGTTTGGATCATTGTTACTCATCGTTTTATAATGTATTATATTGTACTGTACTGTATTGTATTGTATCGTTTTATGGATACAACGTTTGAATAGATTGTATCGTTTGTTGTTGTTAAATAATATTTTTGTTGTTAGTTTGACGATATCGTACAGTATTATAACTGATAAGTTCACTAAAATACCCGCAATTATTTTAAATAAAATTTATAAAGAATTACACATAAAAAATATTTAAGAAAATCTCTTTCTACTAATTTATCATTAATTACGTAGCTTGGAAATAAGAGCAAAAACCTGGGGGGGAAAAAAAGTTAACTAATATTAGCAACACCAAAACAACAATTAAAACGATGAAAAGAGACAAAGAATCGAACGGAGACTTGGATAATAAAAAGAACTGGGCAAACTAACTCTAGAAAAGATGGAAGAAGACAAAGTAGGTCAATAGGTGGGAGATTTAGAGTTAAAATAATATAAAATTAAATGATAAAATAGAATTATAGAGTAATAAGTAAGGGCATAATTAGAAAAGAAAATAGGAAACGATCCCACCACACCAAATCGGATGTTTCATAAAATGGGGCTTTTGGTTATTCCGGAACAATGGATTTAACAATACGATACAATCAATTTTAAATAAACAATCAAAACAAACATTATTTTGGGATAACAATACAATACAATGGGTAACAACAATCCAAACAAGCTGTTCATAACAAAATGATTCGATATTAGATAATTAATGGCGATCTGACAAAGTTAATTCCCAACATATTCTCCGTAGCGCAATATATTTTGGTTCTAATACGTTTAGGATTTCATTTTGTTTTATAAATAATTCATTTTGTATATTTTTGATTTATTTGCTTATGGGTTAAACCTCTTTTTGGGGGAGATATCAGATGGTCCCAAAGGCACTATTAAAGTTTTGGGTTATCGCACTTTCACATTATTGCACTCCCATCACAACTCTTAGTGATTTGGTACATGTGATAAGAATAATAATTTAGGGATAAAGTTCATATTTGGTTTGGGATATTAACTAATTTCGAAATAAATTTTACACTAAAATAATGGGATTAACTATCTCATATAAAAGGTAGAATAATTAATCCCATTAAAAAGCTTTGAACACCATAAGAAAACCTTTTTCTCTTTGCCCTTGTTAAAGGGACATCAGAATTAAAATTCTTGTTTCCACAATATTATTAGGCATAGTAAAATATCCAACAATATAGAAACATTGAAAAGAAAAACAAACAAACCAACAAGCAAGAAAAGAATAATTAAAAGAGCACCTGACCAAATGCCTTACGGTTTGTCAATTTTTTTCAATGGGAAGAGGCTTTCTACCCAACTATAAGTGCCTTCAAACACACGTTCTTTACAAAATCCCTGGATTTCGTATCCTCTCCAACTTTTTCTTGTTACATATGATGAGGGAATAGAATACTAGTTTTTTAGGGCATCCCAACTCCTTATAAGAAACAATGGGAAAGCCAACAATGACATGTCTCTCCCATCTTTCATGTTGCCCCTTCCCTAAAATCCACAAATTAATTTCTCCATTGATCATCGTATTTTTAAGGATGGCCAATTTTCCTTTAACTTCTATTAGGTTATAAAATTCTTTGTAGCAATGTAAACCTTTCCACATCGTGATAGTTTTGAAACTTTCGGTTTTCACATCAAAAGCAACTATATCTTGCTTGTGATTAACACCATTCAACATATAAATAACTCCATTAAGGTTTGCTCAATTGGTAAAAGCACATTCGCCTACGACCGTTAGGTCCTGGGTCTACAACCGTAAGGTCCTGGGTTCGAGTCACGCTGGAAAGGAAGTGTGAAAACATTATAGATCCTCCTAATTCGGGAGGGGTTTAAAAAAAAAAAATCCATTAATGCAAACTCCCTCCGATCGATAAAACTCGCAAATACTTTCAATCTCCTTCCACGATTCATTTATGTCTAAAGTGAGAACCCAACTTCTTGACAATATTTGTGATTTTCCCTTCAAATACTCAATTCTCGTGAAAAGAACTTTATAAATCTGTTCTTTTGGTTCGAAACCTAATGAATAATGACTTGGAAAAAGATTATTTATGTAGGGAAGATATCTTACTTCTCTCGTACTGGGATTGCAAATTATAGCAGGCTGATGACATATTGCTTTCCAGAAGCAGAACACACCATTAACGCACTCCAAAAAGTCAGTCATGAAATAAATATCACGGTAGAGCTTATCAAAATAATTCTTACGAAGAAGGGATGCTTTTCCATCTTCGTTTTGCTTTATAGTGTATAAAAGTCCCTTTGGGCAAAACGATCCCTTTCCCAAATGAGCAATTTAGTTCGAGTTCTAGAGCGGCATAGATGAATATCCATAAAACTTGATTCCGACTAGGAGTTATAAAATGATTAAAAGAAAACAGTTAACTACTCATATTATCCACTAAAAAATGGGTTGGATAATTAACTTTTTAAAAATGGGTCAAATATGTATAAGAACCATATTATCCATTTAGAAAATGGATAAATGGATAACTAATGGTTTAACTTTTATATTTGTAAAGCCACAAATTGAGGGTTCCTCAAGTTTGGGAGACTAAGAATTCTCCCAAAAATGACCATATTCATGAAGCCATGGATAATATGGTTACTCATATTATCCGTCGGTTAACCCATTTTTTTATCCGTATTAAATATGAGTCGGGTCGAATAATTTATCCGTTTTCTCATTACCCGTTTTCGACCCGAACCATATCCAACCCGACCCCCCGTTTGCCACTCGTAATTCCGACACAAGGAAGTTAAAAATTTTGGAAAGGCATCTGAATCGCATTAAAGATTTAACAGGGAAGCCACGAGAATATATCAATAATTATTTCTTGGGGAATTGATGGTTTTTTCCTCAAATAATTCATGTTCTTCTCCTTGTAGACGGCGGCTGTAGCCATGGCCACTCCTTTCTAAGCAAACCCTATTTCCACCCTAAAAATATATAGGGCAATAGTTTATACTTTTCCTTTTCCTAACATTCTAGTTTCCGCCCAGAGATTTAGGACGGAAATCTACCGAATACGTCGGTAAATCTTTTCGTTTTTTTCGGAAAAAAAGAGTTCTAGCATCAACCTTAACGTAGGTAAATATATTAAGGAAATTTTTTCATATTTTCCACTTCTATTTGTAAAGCTTTTGGAATGGTGCCGTCAAAAGTCATAAGTAAAAAACTAAGAAGTGGATATTATTGTATTCAACTTTTATTTTTTAACTATTCTTAAGCGACTCGTTTTATATCTGAATTATTACAATACTAGTAAATTTACACGCGCGTCGAAGGCCTCGGTGAATTTATGAACTAATCTTTTTCTAATACCTGAAAATATTAAAAATAAATTTCAAACCATACAAGCATTTACATGCCTATACAACAGATTTTCTCAACAGATATGTGAATTATCAGTTATTGAATCCATCACGAAAATAAACCTGAAGTAGTTGATTCTATAGTATTGGAAAAGGAAGAGAAGTCAATAATGCAAATGTCAGAAATTCATGTTTTGAGGGTGTTACTGCATGCAATATACCAAACCAGTACAAATCTACAAGTCAGCAACAATTCAATAAAATGAGCAAGATTAAAATTCTAGAAATAAGAGTGTATATGGTATAGGTCATTCACTTTTCTTGTTTTACACCCCATACCACAGCTCCTACACTGCTACTGCTGATTATAATGTGATTTGGTCATATTATAATCATTATTATTATGTGATTTGGTCTCACACTAAAGGTTCCTCAGATTGGTCCTTTAATTTGACTCGCTCAATTTGTTGTCACTTCTCCTTCCTTTATACTTGCACCATTTTGCACATACATGAGAATTCCCCTGTTAAGGTTGTCAGCCAACAATTTAATGTCTTATGAACAACTGACACCAGGAAGCTGTTGTACTCCCAATAAAACAAAGAAAAACGATGTTGCATTGTCCCTCATATTAATTTCTCGAATTGTTTACGGGAAAAAATAGACATATATACAAAAACAAAATATATATACATTTGTACGAGCGACTAAAACTAAACGTTTCTCTTATTTATTTATAGAAGTCATTTTCACCGATTATTATACCTCCTGTAAATCAAAACACAAGTTTAGGGCACCAACTTCTTTTGAATGGGTCACCAATAGAACTGTCGGTTCTTCAGAATCTAAATTCAGTCTTTCACTAAAATTTCGAATAGCGATCCCGAATTCAAGTTGATTCTATTTTGACTCTTCCTCAGAGAAAGACGATCAAACAATTCCCAATCATGGTCCTTGCGGATCGGATCATCCATATAATATACAAAAAGAAACTCCAGATATTTGAGATCTTTCTCTTTGAATCATTCCGAAGTAGAAGGAGGGTAAGATCCTTGCCGAATCAAAGTTATTCATTTCATTCTTTTTTTTATGGAAGTCGAGACCCCATCCGTGACGTGGTCTTAGACTGGTTAATCGCGATGTAACGACCCGACCAGTCGTTTTACTTTTTAGAAGCATGTTCCCCTAAATAAGATTTCCCGTATGTGCTTTTACTTATTTATGACTTGCGGGGATGGTTAGTTCGAGATTTGGAAGGGTTCGGGTTGAAATCGGAACATTTGGTTCCTTAAGTTGGCCTTAAAAGGCTAAGTTTGACTTCGATCAACATTTTGAGTAAACGACCTCGGAATCGCGATTAAACGGTCCCAATAGGTTCGTATGATGATTTCGGACTTGGTCGTATGCTCGAATCGGGTTTTGGATGACCCGGAGCGTTTCGGCGCCTAATATTGAAAATTGGTTC